CCCCAAAACCCCAAAACCCCAAAACCCCAAAACCCCTTTTAAGAGATTAATAATTCATTAACAAGAAATAAAAATGAAACAAATTGAATTTCATGCTGGGAACATGAACAAAACTGCATTCTCTATCTTTGTGAATTATCTGGAAAAGCCTGAGTTTCCTCATTCCATAAGTTTGGAGATAAGCAAGCAGTGCTTGATGATTGGAGATTATTTCAACTCACCTCAGTTCCTGTATGACTTAATAGAGCAGAATATTAAACCAAATATGAATTCTAAGACAGTTCTCACATTCTTAGTAGATTCCATGAGCAACATGAATAAGAACAAAGATACATATGGCTCATGGCTGGGTTTATTCAACTTTTGTCTCAAATACATGGCAGAAAATCTGGATAAACTGTGAAATGAGAAATCAACAAATCAACAGCTAATGAATTTATGAGATTCAAATCCTCTGATTTTAGAAGCAGTCATTGAGAAAGGAATGAAGAGCTGTGTTGAGGCAAATTACAGCAAATAAAGATGATCTGAAGGACGCATGTCTAAGTATTCTAAAGAAGTTAAGGAATCCTCCTGTATGACCCTCTTTTAACCTTATAGACATCCTCTCTTTCTTATCTCATCAATCTAGAGCAGAAAAGGAAACTTTTGAATATTTCTAAGAAGTCAGATCGAATAGCGCCTAATCAGTTTATTAAATGGAGGATTAGTGATCCTATGGTTCCATTTAAGTCTACTTCCCCTCCAGTACAGATTCATTCTTATAATTTTATCTTCTTTGCTGAGCGCAATGAGGAATTTAGTGGGCTTAAAATATTCACAATGCTTATGCCTACCAAGAATAAGGGTCTCTTTAATATTACCTCCAACAGAAGTAATGCTGCTCATGAAGGAAACTTACGCTACCAGAGGTTAAAAAACCAAGGATCTCAAGAAGATTCTTCCCTCTCTTTTGAGGATGAGAAGCAGATTCTTGTATGCCATTGAATGGTAAGTTTTTACTGATTATCATAGGTTCTCAACAATACTGAGCAGCCCAACACAACAACCCAATCTGAGGAAGATAATCAATTTGCTTTTCATTGATGAGAAGCTGGAAAGAAGGTGGAAATTGCTCGCTTTGATTGAATACAAACACCAGGACATGAACATGTGATACAAATTTACCAGAAAATAGATTATATTCAGAGCTTAATTCAGAGAGAGTTGAAGATTCAGAAAGAAAGTCCATTATTTAATAAAAACCTCACAAATCTTGTGAAATTAGGAATCTGACGCAATAAAGAAACTACTAAGTCTAAATCACAAGATTATGGTAAACCAAATTTAAGTAGATTTAAGAACTTGAATTTAAGCAAAGCCTTTAACCAAAAGCCAAAAGATTTATTCCCCAGAGACCTACAGGAGCCTGAACTTTACGTTCAAAGTCTATATAAAAGTGGAAGAAGATCCCAGAAAAGTTGTACAAGCTACTTCACTCGTCAAAGTAGCTCCAAGCCTAAGAGAAGGAGTTACAGCTCCTTCACCAACAATCTTGGCCACGACAGCAAAACAAGGATAAAATAAGATGTCTTTGATGCTGAATCCATATTCCGTTGGAAAGAAAATACCCCAAGAAGAATTTCAAAATAAGAATGAAAGAATTTTGATTCAAACGAATCAAAGTCCTAAACTGGATAAACACATTGTGAGCAAGAACTATAGGGAAGCAGCCAAGTACAGACTGCTTAATTGTCAGTCTGTAGCTTCTAGTAAGTCCAGCCTCTTTGACGAACATATGCGAAACCCTCCTTATGAATATGAGTCTTTTGCATCAAGCGATAAAGGTAAGGCTTTAACATCATTCTTAGAAAATATATCAGCGAATGATAAAATTTGCATGCTGGAGTTGCTGTTGAAGGAAAAGAATAAGGAAATTAAGAACCTCAAGAGGCAGATCAATCCTCGCAGGGAGCGCTACAGTGAGACAAGGACAAATTGTGATGATAATAGAGAAACTCTGAGTAGATCTAGGAAGCAAATACAAAGAGAAAAGCTTCGCAGAGAGGTCTCAAGCAAACTTGACAATTACTCTATGAATGAGGATAATCCTAAAAGATTCTTTGCTTATATGCGTAATCCAAAGAGTATGCAAGACTCTAACAGTCGCTGTAGCTTCCGATAAATAATGAAATTCTTAAATTATATCGAAATTTGGGGTTTTGGGGTTTTGGGGTTTTGGGGTTTTGGGG